GAATTAACAGCTTTTTAAACTGCTGGCTAGCAAAACATCCTGTAACAGCCAAGTGGATGATCTTTTTTAAAGTATTTATATGCAAACACAAAATCCCTAAGTAGCTTACTATAAATGTCATAAAGATATTTTAAAGCCAGTATTTAAAAGTCAAAACTAAGATTCACAGCAAGATTGGTAAAAATTAGTAAAAAAAATGGTGGTCATCTGGTGGGACCTAGGAAGTGCCCCTTCTCTGTAGCTGCCCCTGTTCTGTGACACACCCTTCCCCCCGAGATCTGGTAGCCCCCTACCCTCCTAGCCTTTGGGAAGGCCTTGAAGAGCTGCCCACAAGCTATGGGGGAGAGTGAGGCTGAAACCCAGTAAAGTGGATTGCTGATGTCTGGGGCAGTGCTGTTTTTGGAGTGCCCAGAGTTTTTGCTATAGTTTGACGTTTTTATTGTTTTGTGAGCTGCCCAGAGTCATGGTACATAAGATGGTGAGCCATATAAGTCTTTTAAATAAATAAGAAAATAAATAAATAAAATCAGCTAAAGATACATTCTGTATGATACAGTAATGCAAATCAGAACATTCAGTAAAAACACCAGGAACTTAAAGCAGCAGAAATAAAATGAATTAGAAAACTCTATTACAGCAGAAATGCAAATAAATGAAATTAATATTAGAGTTATGTGCCCTCAGGTCAGGTTGATTCTTAGAGACCATATAGATAGATTTTCTCCATGGCGATCTATCCCTAACCTGGTTCTTCAGGTCTTCCAATGATGCATCCATTGCCATTGTAACTGAGTCCATCCACCTTGCTGCTGGTCATCCTCTTCTTTTTTCTTCCACCTTCCCCAGCATTAGAACCTTCTCTAAAAAGCTAGGTCTTCACATAGTGTATCCAAAGTAGGATAATTGGAGCCTGATCATTTGTGCCTTGAGTGAGAACTCTGAGCTGTTTTCTTGGCTGTCCACAATATTCTCAGGAATCTTCTCCAACACCAAACTTCAACAGTGTCAATATTCTTTCTATCCTGCTTCTTCCAAGTCCAACGTCCGCTTCCATAAAGTCACAAGGAATACCATAGCTTCTACTTTTCTGATCTGTGTAGGTACAAACGTATCATAGTATTTGAATATCTTTTCCAAGGCCTTCATGGCTGTTCTACCAAGTGCTAGTCTGTGGCATATTTCTTGACTGCTTGTTCCTTTACTATTGATGGTTGATCCTAAAAGGCAGAAGCTACCCACCACTTCATTATCTTCACTGTCAATTCTAAGGCTGGTGGCTATGCCAGTTGTCATTAGTTTTGTCTTCTTTATATTTAATTTTAGTCCCAGTTTTTCACTGTGCTCCTTGACTTTTAGTACTAGAGCTTGACTTTTATAACTAGAGCTTTTGGCTATCAAAGTAGTGTCATCTGGGAGCAATGATGGGGGTTCACCATAATATTTTTAATTGGGTTTTTGGCCTTACTTGCTATATATACTCATCCACGGTAATTGGTAACTCATGATTTATAGCTTTGTGAATCTAGGTAATTGTGGTGGCACATGAACTAAAGATTAAGAAGTTTTAAATGTTCTACTGCTCACCAGTATTGACCATTAATGCCTCCCCAGCAGCATTTTTGGCCTTATGGACACTGCTGGTAGCCTTTGGGCTGCAAATAAGATACTGGGGGGGGGGCACAAGTTGCCCATCTCTGTGCTAAATGAAAAAACCCATGATTTGCACATCACAATTATTGGCTTGCACATGTTAAGTCAAAGTGAAGTCATATTATGTTGTGTGCACCAAGACATTGTTTGTAAATCATAGTTTAGAACTTAGTGTAATGCCTGGACCAGGCCATTGTGGATTGTTTAGCGACTTACAATTTAGTGTGATTTGTAAACTATAATCCTCTCTAGTTGCTGAGTTCTTGAGTAATTGGCATTTGCCCAAATTGTCCACTAGAGGGCTTTTCAAGAAGTTTGCAATTTTAGGTAGATGCATGTTCCAGTTATGCAAAGTAGTAATATCACAGGAAGATATTAATTTATATATGAAGTGCACAGCAACCATCTTCCTTGGAGATCTTGCTTTGTATGTGATCAGAAGATAGTTGCTGACAATGTGCACTTAGATCTGTCAGATACAGGGTGATTTATCCAGGGCCTGTGGCACGAGCGAATATCAGCTACTTTCCCCCATGTTTTTATAGGCAGAGGCAGAATTGGCTGAGACATGCAATCTAAGTACAGCTTTTGGTTTCCAAAATAGGTTGGAAGGGGAATGGCAGAGGAGGGGCAGGTGAGCAAATATTTTGGATGTCAGCTCCTCCCATCAGCTAGCCAACTTGGTAAGGGATGATAGGAAGTGTAGTCAGAAGCATCACATTGCTTACTCTTGGGTTAGGGTTTCAGAGGGGAATTTAAGTCTGCCTTCAAACAAACATCCACCATAATAATGGTAAGTTGGTTTGTAGGAAAAGAACATGTGCAACATAAATCCATCAGTTTGAAAACAAATGGGGGGGGAGGGAAATCCCAAGAAAGTCCAAGAATTGCATAGCTCCCTCCCCACCCTGTAATTTACCTGTTGGTTGTCTGAATGGGAGTTTCTTTTGAACTTCTTTTTCAGTGGGCTGGCTAATCTCATCAAAAGCACATTTTTGCTATATCTGATAGTTAGCCTACCGATTAGGCTCTTGCTTTTCTTTGTTTTAACAAGTATCTGTGTAATGCTTTTCCATCAGAATGTTTCTCTGAGTAGCTCAAAATAATAAAGCATTTGCTCCTGCAGTAACAAATATGGCATATCAGATGCCATCAAATATCACACACAGCACCTGCCTCTTCTGTCCTTCAAGTCTGAGGCAGCAGGTAGGGATACTCCAGAGGGCTTTTCTCAACCTGCCAGCTGTTTCCTACTATAATTTACTGTTATAGTAAGCTACACAAGATGTTACACAATATGGCAGACTTTAGTTCTTAAGTAGTCCCTAGCACAAGGACCACATTACAACTAGTCAATTTGTGCTGCTCCAGATGTGTTGCCATATATTTTTCATCACATTTGGGATGGTTTGGGAAGGTTATTCAAAGTAATGCACCAGTTTCAAGAACAGTTCCCAGGCCCAGAGCAAACAGCTAGTTTGGTTCTGAAGACTGACTACATAACATACCACCCCATGGTTTACTTGACCACAGTTTACTGATTTAAATGGATTCACACAACACACTAGGCCATTAACTATACTGACTTTGTGCAAAATACTGGCTGCATTCACACAACACATTAATCTGGTTAATGAATCAATCAAGTTTTAGGAATTGAAATAAGCTAGTCAAATGGGCTGGGGTTGCACAATCTGCAATGCCACAAAAAACAACTTACCAAGGTTGACATTAACCAACGTTTGCAAATGAAACTGCTAGATTTACCTGATCTGGCTAAGCTTGTTGCGTGAACACACACAGACTAGCCAATCACATTTTAACTTGACAATTTCTGTGATCATTCCATCTGTACTGATAGACTGAATTTGTACAACACATAAACTGTCGTGTAGTTTGCTTGGTTTTGCCTTGTATGAATCCTGATATTGTAAACTGTAAACCATGGTTTATGGCTTATGTGAATTCAAACAGTTGGCTCATCTAACAAACCATGGTTGAGAAACAGACCCAGTAGAGTGTCCTAACCCTGGCGTAAGATACTTTTGAGGTCTGAAGTGGAATGAGAGGTCCCAAGAGGCCTTTTGGGTAGCATCACCTTTGCTCAGCCACTTCGTCTAGGCAAGTTTTCTGACTTTGGGCCTATTTTCTGTGGTTGTTGATTAACCTGTGTATTTGGAGGTATATGCCTATTTTGGATTTTGTGTAATGTTGCATATTGCAAAGAGGAGAATCCTGGTGTATGTATGTATTTATTTCTGGATTTGTTATTACTATAATAAAACATTAAGCATGAGTTATCCTGAAAACATATCATGTTAGTAAGTGGCTGTTAAATGCACAAAATTAACTGAAGTATATCTCCCTATTCAACATGAAGGTATATGCTAATTTTGCATTCCTGCTCATGCTTGTCACAAGACAAGGTATGGATTTTGCAGAAGACCAAGGGCAAAACCAGATTAAATCCCATTTGGATAACCAGCAGCCATCATTTGTACAGTTGAGAGCCAGTTGGTCTAGTGGTTAAGGCACCAAGCTAGAAACCAGGAGACTCTGAGTCCTAGTCCTGCCTTAGGCATGAAAGCCAGCTGGGTGACTTTGAGCTAGTCTCTCTCAGCCCAACTCACCTCACAGAGTTGTTGTGGGGAACATAGGAAGAGGAAGGCGTATTAGGTATGTTTGCTGCCTTGAGTTATTTATTAAGGCAGGATAAAAAAAAATCTAAAAAAATAATAATGCAGGAAACGGCAGAGAATTAGGTTACAGCTTCTCCTCTGGGAAACCAGCCCAACTTAAAGGCCAATGATTTGGCTAAATCAGTGCCCTGTCTTCCTGCAAGGAGGAAAGCCCTGCAGGAAAACAAAGCAAACAGCTCCTTGTTTGACAGGAAGAATGTATTATTTTGCTGCCCGTTGCTTTTTAAGGGCTTCTGAGTGAAAGATACCATTAATTCTGAAGCTGCAGCTCTTCCATGCTTCTTGTGTTCCCAGCACAAGTTTACTGTCCCTTCATCACAGAAGAAACACCAGAAATTAAGAAACAGTCTTAGGCAACATAAACTGCCATGATTTCTTTGTTTGCGCAAGAAGGAGTTACTTATTCAACTTTTAGAGGTAATGGACTACAGTTCTCATTGACTTTCTAATTCCAGTATGATGGGCAACCAAGTGGATCATAACAAACTAAATACCTGGCATAGGCAGGAAATGCTGTTTTTTATGAAGACATCCTGTCAACACATTTGGCCAGACACTTCTGACCATAAGGAGACCTTAAAGCAGTGTTTCTCAACCTCAACAACTTTAAGATGTGTAGACTTCAACCCCAGAATTCCCCAGTCAGCATGCTGGTTGGGGAATTCTGGGAGTTGAAGTCCACACATCTTACAGCTACTGAAGTTGAGAAACACTGTCTTAAAGCAGAGATGTGAACTCCAAGTATTGCTCATCTTTAGCCATGTTGGCTGCAACTGCAATTGAGCAGCATCTGGAAAATTAAAGATATATCTCTGCTGTATGCTGTTGCTCACAGAGAATCATATAATAGAAAGGGCAAATTGAGACCCATCTCTTAATTAATACAGAAATCCAACTTCAAGCATTCCCAATAGATGGCAATTTAGCCTCCATTTGTCTGGATGATTGATTCTGCTGTCAAATTTCTCTTTTCATCCATTAATTGCTGTATTCCAATCCTGGGACAACACACATGCTGTTCACAGAACAAATTGAATCATAAACCTTCTTTAGCTTCATATACTGTGTGAACCTATCCATGTGGTTAGTTTTACATCAGTATAGTTTAATATCTCAGGTCAACCCAGAACATTAACTGAGTAAACCAGTTAACCACAGGTAATTATATAATATGAACCCAGCCAGTAACTGGATTCCTGCATTACTCTAAGCCATTATTTAAGCCTGGTATTAAATTACATAAGTAGTTGTACTCTCAAAATACAATAAACCATAAATTGTGGTTTACCAAGTACCAAAACAAATCTGTGAAGGTTGAAATTTGCTCACTCTTGACTTAATAGCAGAAAACACTGGGGAACAAGGTGAAGAGAACAAACTGCAGAATCCAATACAACATACATTTTACTAGCAGAACAAAAGCTACCAAATACAAATGTTAGAAAACAGTAATACTAAGTATGCTAGGAATGCACAAGACAGCCTGTGGGCCTGTGAAAAACAAGGACACAGTCTCAACTAAACCCTTGGATAAAATGTCTAGACTACTGTAAATTTGATCCCTGCCCACCCCACCCCCTCGTGTGGCACTACTCTAAAATGCTAAATATGCACAATACTCCACACTAAGGAACATCAGAATAAATTGAATCCATTGCAATTATTTTACATTTCAACATAAATAAGAGTGACATTTGAGAAAAGCAAAACAAAATAATAGGTTACATACACATACCCTGTTGCATCATTTGCAACCTTGCTCTGCGCACCCTCATTTTTTTTTCCAGATAAAGACAATAGGGTTTTGTTTGGCCAGAGCAAAAGTGAAAATTAAATTTACTCTTTTACACATTTTCCCCCTTCCTCCTTCTCCAGGCAACTCTGCAGATGTCAAGATCTTTAGCCTCTTGATGTAGGTCAGTATCATTAACTCGTTCTCCAAAGAAGGCAGGAATTCACTTTTTTATCATGCACTTCTCTGTAAACTTCCAGATGATTTGATATATTTTTCTTAAAGTAAGTGGACTCTAGAAACTTGTCCACGTTGCTGAAAAATCTCTACATCAGTGTCCAGGGCAGCCCAAATTGGAGTCAGGCTCCTGTGAGGTTTACAGAATGGCACAGAAGAACTTCTTCTCTCTGAATGGATTTTCTGAAGCAGGGACAGGAGTTAATAAGGGATCTTCCTTGGCATGGGCTTCGCAGTACGCCATCAGGTCTGCTGCAGCTTTGGATACCTGGAAATAAAAAGAGTATTTATGTTCCTTTGGAATCCAGAGTAGCTGTTCTTAAACAGCAAAGATGTACAGCCAGTTGGCCAAGGGAAGGCCAAATAAACCCTTAAAAGAAAGAATAACTGAGGTCCATTTTGCTAAACCTTAACGTAGTATGCCTTGTTTTAGCTTAGTAATGTTGTATGAACTTAGCCAACTGTCATTTAATTAACAAGCCATGATGAAGCAAACTATGATGTAGAGTGATGTGTAAAAAGACGGTCAGTTGCTATAAAAATCTCATTTCTATGATTGCCAATTTAGGAAGACTAGTTTAAATCCAATCAGAGATGCTGGACTTCAGCTCCATGAGCTGGCCATGCTCATCAGGAGAAGGCTGTTAAGAACAGATGTACAACACACACAAGGGTAGGCATAAATAAAGTTGGGTAGGTTGTGGTCCAGTATGTTGTAGGAATCCCACCATTGTCAGCAATTTGGATGAACCAGGCCACCATGTTAAACTACAATATGGTTTGTTCAGGCATAGTGTTATGAGAATTCATCAACTATGGCTCATTAACACAGATTTGTGACTTAGCATGTGTGAATTTAGTCCCCAAGTGGAGAGTTCTCAATGGGAAAAGCTATTCAACGGTGTCTTGCCCAAGTTGGGAAAGTGAATTTTTATATGCTGGTGTCTTGTCCAAGTGAAGAGGGTGAGTTTACACACACTTACGCTTTTGGTACAAAATGAAAATGGCCTTTTGTGCCAACAGGAACTATGAAGACATCCAGCATTTATGGGCCACAAGCTGCCTCTTTTCAGAAAGGCAGATACATTCCCTTATGCTGGCATGTCATCTGCTACAAAGATCACTGAAAACAACCTCTCCTTTTTCAGGGGAGAAAGGAGTTAAAAACCTCCTCTCCTTTTAAGTCATATGAAAGTCAAGGAAAATAGCCCCTCTCAATCACCACATAGCTTGCAGTTCTAGGATCCCTTCTTTCTTTGACCCCAGCTTCCATGCTCCCGCAAATGAATCAGAGCGAACTAAACTCAAGGGACACTTACCCTAAGCCAGTCCCAAATCCCATATTGTTCTTGGCATTTAAAGGTTAGGTTCATTCCCTCCCTCCCTCTGACACACACATGTATGAAGTCAGGGTTTGTGGAATAGTGCTGGTGCTGGATGCAAAGTGTTAGCTTCGCCAGAGCTCCAGTCTCTGATGCTACAGGAGGAGGAGCCTGGCTGTGCATTTCTTTCTGGCATGAAGAGCGATGCAAGAGTCACTGAAGGTGCTCGGCTGAGCTGTCAGCAAGTGGTGGCCACCTGAGCTGCTTCTCCTGAAAAGAGGCAGGCCAGAGGTTTTAGCAAACCTCAGCTCTCGGGGAGATAAGGTGCTTGGGCTTCAGGGACATTCGCAGGGAGTGTCAAAAGGGATCTAGCCGTGCCCTTTTTCGACGCACACTGGGTGTGATAGATGTAAAAAATGGCAGGGGTTCGCCCGCTTGGTCGTGGCTGCCATTTTGAGCCCTCTCCATACATGCCCTTTTGGGTCTTCAGAGGAGAACAGGTTGAGGGAGGGAGGACACAGGGCACACTGGGAAAGAGCCATGGCTGCCCACTCTGCCAGCGGAGTGATAAACGGGAAGAGAAGGTAAGGGAGGGATGTCCTGAAGGACCCAAATGGAAAGACACTGGCGTCCGAAGGGCCAGATGCTCATAGCTGTGAGGAATCCGTATTGACCGAGTTGATCCTAGCACAGCTTTTTCTTGGCCCACTCACCATCCTGAAGATGACTCTGCATTTCCCTGCGCGTTGTGGGCAACCTGTTCCTCCAAGAAACAACACGCACACCTCCCGTGCCCGCTTCAGAGCCCCAGAACCGATTCCCTCAAGTCTTGAGCATTTCCCATCAGTGCTTAAAAAGCTCCCTCTCATTGCCCCAGGTGGCTTAGCCCGATCACGGCCAACCTGGAGGGGAGAGTGGCGCTACGTTCAGAGGTGCAGCCATTTAGCCTGCTCTAAATTTAAAATGCCAATACAGCCTTACAGGTTTACGTTTCAGAGACTCCCTCCCCCCCACCTGCCATAAAAAAAAGCACACACCATTTCACAGATCAAGGACCGTTGGCTACAGCTCAGATTGCAGGTTTTCCATATGTGAGGTGCTTCGAGCCCTCTTTATAGAGAAGCCAAGCTTCACTGGTGAAGGCTTGTGGTTGCCATAGTAACCCAAGGAGAAGAGAGCGAGACTGTGCAGTCTGGAGCTTTGCACGTGAAGCTGACGATATCAGACCTCAGGGCTAGGCTCTTTCCAGTTCCAACCACAGCTATTAGGGGTGGCCGCATCAAAAAGATTAACGTCCCAGAGAGAGTCAGTGACACGTGAGATTCCTCTCTGATTTAGGAACAGAATGCATGGTGAAAGGTTTTAAGATTTCCAGATTAAGGGTTTATATGGAAGAGTTACCAACACTCTGACAGAGGCTATATAATCTATTGCAGTGTTTCTCAACCTTAGCCACTTTAAGCTGTGTGGACTTCAACTCCCAGAATTCCCCAGCCAGCCATGTAAAAAAATGGCAGGGGTTTGCCTGCTTGGTCGTGGCTGCCATTTTGAGCCCTCTCCATACATGCCCTTTTGGGTCTTCAGAGGAGAACAGGTTGAGGGAGGGAGGGAGGACACAGGGCACACTGGGAAAGAGCCATGGCTGCCCACTCTGCCAGCGGA